TGATACATTTGTTATACAACCTGGAATAAAAGGAAATACCGAATATCTTATTGATTTGTTAAAAAAGAAATGTATTGAAGATGCCAAAGAAGCAAAATCCTCAAAATATTGTCAATCAACATCGTCAACAATAGCAAAATCAACATCAGCTGCGTCATTAAATAGTTCACCAGAAAACATATCAACCGAATCTTCTAATTTATCAGTTAGTCAACATAAAACGTATATTATTGATACATTGAATAGCTGGTGCAAAAACAATAAATCAAAATTTAATTTATCACAATTATCTTTAATTGAAGGTCAACATTATTTTATTTCGCTTTTTAATGATCCAAGTGGTGCGTTAAAATGTGATATAAAGTGCTGTTGCGAAAAATGGTCATCATTAACATTAAGACGTGGAAAATTTCAATTGTCGAATTTCTATCGTCATCTGCAAAGTTTAAGTTATGTATGTCCCGAATTGGAAAAAATGATAAATAATCCTCAATTACAATTACCATCATCAACAAATAGTCAACAATCATTACCAACATCAGATAATGTACCTCAGCAAGTCGTGTCACCAACTTTTATATCTAGTATACCACCATCAAATACAACTCACCCAAATTCATATTTATCCACAGCATCTTCGATCTCAATATCAACAGATAATGATGAAAACATTATACAACAATCACCATCATTAAAAACTAAAAAACAAGTGAAACGAAAAGTTCAAACTATACAATCTTCATACAACACAAGAGAACCAGCAAAAAGAATGAGAAGAAGTTAATTTTTACATTCTGAACATTTTCTTGTTTGTACTTCTTCGGTTACTTCTTTAATGTTCTCTTGTATAGTTAGACTTCATATGAAATTGATCTTTTTTAACTTACTAATTCACTTATTGTTTTCTTGTATAGCTAATCTTTTTTCTTAAGTATTGGATTTTTATGTTTTTATGCCCGTCGTTTTTTAATTTCTTTTACATTTTACAGTTGATTTTTAAACAAATACATAAGATATTAATAGTAAAAAAACCTTTTTTTGAACAAATAGTTATTGAATAATTCTGGTAGTCTCTGCAAAAATCCAGGCGTTTTTATTACTGACATCATTTTTTTTCTTTATTTTCAATAATCGGTTGGGAAAATGAAAAGCACCACATTTTTCTAATGCTAAAGACTTCATAAAAGAGTGGAGTCAGGTGGAGTCAAGTGGAGTCAAGTGGAGTCAAGTGGAGTCAAGTGGAGTCAGGTGGAGTCAAGTGGAGTCAGGTGGAGGCAAGTGGAGTCAAGTGGAGTCAAGTGGCGTCAGGTGGAGTCAAGTGGAGTCATGGAGTCATGGAGTCAGCTGTTTCCCCCTTGNCAAATGTAATGTCATTACGTGATGATAAATTTATTGATCTTGTTAAAGCAGAAGCCGGTGATGGTGCTGCAGCTCTACTTGAAATAGAAGGTATTAATTGTGTCAAGTCATTGTTAATGACATCTAATGTTTATTCTATTATGGACTTGAAGAGTAAAAGCCTAGATGGTTTCAAAAATAAGTATGGTTATATGCAAGATGATGGTACATTTTTTATACAACCTGGAATAAAAGGAAATATCGAATATCTTATTGATTTGTTAAAAAAGAAATGTCTTGAAGATGCCAAAGTAGCTAAATCTTCAAAATATAATGAATCATCATCATCATCAACAACAGTAAAATCAACGTCATCGGTTCCATCAAATAGTTCACCAGAAAAAATACCATCCAGATCTTCTAATTTATCAGCTGGTGAACATAAAACATATATTATTGATACATTGAATAGCTGGTGTGAAAACAATAAATCAAAATTTAATTTATCACAATTATCTTTAATTGAAGGCCAAAATTATTTTCTTTCGATATTTAATGATCCAAGTGGTGCATTTAAATGTGATATAAAGTGTTGTTGCAAAAAATGGTCATCATTAACATTAAGACGTGGGAAATTTCAACTGTCGAATTTCTATCGTCATCTTCAAGGTTCAAGTAATGTATGTCCTGAATTACAAAAAATGATAAATAATGCTCAATTACCATTACCATCAACAATAAATATTCCACAATCATTAACAACATCAGATAATGTACCTCAGCAAGTCGCATCAGCAAGTTCTATACCTATTATACCATCATCACATATAATTCAATCAAATTCAACTTCATCTACAGCATCTTCTATTTCAACATCAACATATAATGATGAACGCACTGTCCAACAATCATCATCATTACCAACTAGAAGACAAGTGAAAAGAAAATTTCAAACAATAGAACCTTCATATAACACAAGAGAACCAACAAAAAGAACGAGAAGAAGTTAATCTTTATATGCTGAACGTTTTCTTGTTCGTACTTCTTCGATTACTTCTTTAATGTTCTCTTGTATAGTTAGACTTTATATGAAATCGATGTTTTTAACTTAGTAATTCACTCATTGTTTTCTTGTATAGTTAATCTTTTCTATTAAGTATTGGATTTTTATATATTTATGTTCATTTTTTTATTTTTTTACATTTTACAGTTGACTTTTAAGCAAATACATAAGATAATAATAGTAAAAAAAACATATTTTTTTGAACAAACAGTTATTGAATGAGTCTTTTAACATCTGCAAAAATTAAGCTGCTTTTTTACTGGCATCATATTTCTCCTTTATTTTCAATAGTCAATTGAGAAAATGGAAACACCATATTTTTATAATACTAAGGACTTCATACAAGAGTGGAGTCAAGTGGAGTCACGCGGAGTCAAGTGGAGTCACGCGGAGTCAAGTGGAGTCAAGTGGAGTCAAGTGGAGTCAAGTGGAGTCATGGAGTCATGGAGTCAGCTGTTTCCCCCTTGCGGAGCGGTGACGGTGCACCGCCCAGTTCCACGGTTTCCCCGTCTCGTGATATACCATATTTTTTCTTACATTACAGGTACAACTGCATAAGAGCGACACTGTTTACAAAAATTGATCTAATTGATAGGGAACATCAAAGAGTGTCAGTGTCGTGGTGTCATTCTTCTGTAGTTGTACCAGTTCGACAAATTCGTTTCATGTCGAATTTGTTTTATTACATATTCATTTAAATCAAATAGTACAAGTCAAATGAAGAAACATAATTGTGATAATCAATCTTTTTCATCTAAATCTTCATTTTCATCTGCGCCATCGTTTGCATATTCGTCTACATCTTTATTTACGTCTTCATCTACAAATTGTCAAGATAACATTCAGTCTTCAAGACAATCTGAAATAATGCCTTTTACTCCGAATCGCCCCAAGCCAAGAAAAATTGAAGAAAATAAAAAAACAATAAATTTAAAATTTGCTGTTTAAGTGAGTATGTGCCGATAATCGACCTTTTCCCAGCGTGAACGATAGTTAATATCACGAAATAAAACAGTACTGGTGAAAGTTGACTATAAAAGTATATTTCTTTAAAAAAATATATTCTCTTGAAGGCGGGGCGGGGCGGTATGGAGCTTGGCGGGGACCGGGGCGGTGACGGGGGCATACTTGACTGATAGGCGGTGACGAGGCGGTGACGAGGCGGTGACGGTGCGACTTTTTAGCTGCCCCGTCCTTCTCTGGCATGGAACTATGATCTGATATATTTTTAAACTTTTATTAATGGTGAGTTTTTAGATTTTCGACATTTTTCAAATAACTATTTTGCCGATAAATCAAACGGAAAAATTGGAACTACTATTATCCGAATTTTAAAAGAAGCCATGTGGAAAAAAGCTTATAAGTGTCGAACGAAAAGTCGTAGCGACCTGCGATTTTTGCCATTTGAAAGAGCGAAGTGGAGTGCGTGAATCTATGTGAAAATTGGCCGATCAATTCATAAAAGTACTTGTTACCTGCATTTTCAAATTTGGCTGCAAATTGCAGTAAATATTCTCATCAGTGATATTTAACCTCGGAATATAACTAATTCAAACATCAGATATATAGTAGACGATGCTTCTGAGTCACTTGAACTCAACAAGATAAAATGTTGAAGTTGCCTTGTTTGAAAGATAAGGATTTCCTGTACGAAAAAGGAAATTGGAAGTTTTGAAATTTAAAGCTTATTTTAACGGTTTTCGACAATTTGTTAAAAAGTGACAAGCATGTGCCCTGTTTAAGAGATTGATTTTTATATAGGCTCATGTACTCCGTGTCGCTCTTTCGAATGATGAAAATTGTAGTTCGCTCTGACTTTTCTTTTAAAAGTTCTAAGCTTTTTTCCCACCTGCCTTCTTTTAAAATTCCGATAGTAGTAATGTTTCGCTTGCCTTTGGAGTCTAATATTTTGTCTCTCAATTATAGAAGTTCGTAAAAATTATTAATATCAAATACAAAAAGAATCTATTATTTTAACCAGGAGATATAGCTGATTACTGATAGAATTTTATCTCAGTATTGAAGTCTTTTCTATAAACTTTCAACGATATCGCTTTATATCTGAAGAAATTTTTAAAACATTCTTTTTATTAATTTCTCATTGTTTTTATTAACTGGAATTATTTTGAACAACCCAATAAAATAAAATGGCACAAATTTGTTTCATAAGACAATTATACCATGAAGACGTTCGATATTACAGAGAATTCACTAGCAGTTTTCTTATTTGTATCAGATTATATTAACATATCAACGAGAACATCAATACTTTATGTTGTTTTTATAAGTGAATAAGAAACATTCTGAAGCAAATCTATCCCAAATCAATATAAAATAGAACACTCTGGAAAAACACTTTTAATTGGATTATTTTCAAAGAATATCAATGTTTAAATTAGTTTCTATAATTCAAAATAAACTGTTCGTCAAACATTCGTCTTGCATTAACGAAATGTGACTCGGAACTAATCATTCAAAGTCTTTCATGCGAATAATAGTGGGAGAGTTCTCCGTTATGAAGATTATTATTAATTTTACGACATACTAATTTGTAACAAATGAAGAATTTTCCGTTCAATAATCATAGAATAACACTTTAAGTATTTTATTAAGATTGAAACTCAATCAAGAACTATAATCTATTCATTGAAAGTCATTCGTTTTGAAGGATTTTGGGAACTGTTCATCAAAGGAAATTCTTCACTAAGAAATCGTAAAACTGAAAAATGAATTTTTATTTTCCGCTGAAATCAGAATTCTTTTCTGTATATATTGAGAAAAGAACTCTATAAAATTGATTCTTTAATCATCGTCGAGTAAAAAATCGATTTTTCTATTTTCGCTGAAGTATCCTGAGAGTAGCAAAACTCCATCTTATTCACTGTAGGCAAAATTTATGCAGATTTTGTGGAACTCACATATATTTTCAAAGAAAATAGTGAGTGTAACTTTTGAGGCGACGATTTTTGCGGCTTCCCCACCCCCGACCCCATTACAGACATTAGCTACCAATAACAACAAACGTTAGATTTTCTTGATTTTGTTTTGAAAAATGTTCAAGTTATAACTTCAAAAAATAAAGAACATTCGTCTTTACGAGTTGATGAAGAATTATGATAGCTCTTTTATGCGTACTCTAAATATGTGAGACATTTACAACAGCATTTTTTTTCAGTTAAACCAATGATGAGATAAATAATAGTGTGAAATTAAGAAAAAGAAAATACGAAAATAAAAAAATAATAGTAACAAGATTGAGTAAAAAGATAATAGTAACAAGATTGAGTAAAAAGATAATAGTTACAAGATTGAATAAAAAAAGAGCGCCGGCGAAAAAAAAGATGTACAAAATATAGAAATAGATGAAAACTATTCTTTCGCTG